ACAATACATCCATAAAAAATCACTCGAAACAGGATGAAAATCAATGCCTACTATGATTACGTAGCTGTCCTGCTCGTTTTTTTTTTCTTTTTTACTCTTATGAGGAAAGAGAAATTAAACAAGATGTTGTGCTACCAACAAACATTAATTGATATTGCGCAAAGTCGACATAATCAATATGGATCTTACTTGGGAGCCAAAGAGAACTTTTTTAATACCATTTGGATCAATTCAATCAACTTTTGAACATTGTTTAACTGCATTTGTTAAATTCTTAATCGTGATTACTGTTCGATGATTTAGAAGTGCTTCAAGTTAATTTTATGTTTTTTGATGTAATTTACGGCTTGTATCTCGAGACTAAAACAACGAAAACAGCTGTGACAACTTTCATAGCGAAGCTTAATGTGTGATCTACCAACTTTGTCACTAGAGGTTGACTATTCAAAGTGATTTTATTTAAGTGTGACTTAGTTTCATGCTCGAAGATATCTTAAAAAGTGTAGAACTTTAAATTATTTGTGCTACGAACTTTCCAACCATGTGATATAAAAATGTGTAGCCTCCGACATAATGTTCCTTATACTGTTCTAGAAATTTCGTTCATACATAGTTTTCGTGTAGATTCCATAGATTGAGAGATAAAAATCAGAAAAGAGGCCGTTATAGCTAAAATTCACAAGACAACAGAGTCAACAGAAGTTTCAATTAGATTGACAGAACATAGTTGCATTGCTTTTCAATGACGACCGATGACTGTTTCATTGATAGATGATTTTTTTTTAAAAACATGAATCCTCAGTAGACGTGTTTTTTACAATCCTCTGCCAAGAAGAAGGGTTGCTGAAGGTGGTGGTGTCAGCACTGTAGCCTACAGTTTTTATGCTATGTTTATATGTGCATTGACGACACGTATGCGTTAAAAAATCTTATGGGAATAATCATCAATATAACTTGAATTTTTCATGATTAGCTTGCCTAATTTAAAAATTAGTATAATAAATGTTTAATTGCTACATGTACGCGCTTGTTGAACATTTATCACGAATATTTAGCCGCGCAACAAATCAAACATCTATGTGGACGGAGCATAATTTCCCAATGTTTGCATCAGCTGTCTTAGATTGGCAGATAATCGAGCCAAAGAACCAACAATTTTGGCTTCAAGCAAAATGTTTGTAGATGCCTTTTCTGCCACCGGATTGGTTTTTTTTTTATCAAAGGCAAGTGTCACAAATTCTTCCTCAAGTACTTGTGCCTCCTTGTCGTTGTCGTCGATGCACCTCCTGCCATTAAACTAGCTGAAAGATTTTCGGATCTACGTTAAATTTTCTGAAATCAGACTGCTGGCTGGCAAAGTATTCAAGACATATCCGTATAATTTTTAACTTCTTTGACTGAATCTGTTTAAATTGCAAATTAGAAAAACGCCTCGTTTTGCTGAAAACTGCAATTTTTTTTCTAGGTTCAAAATCAAAATGCGCAGACATTTTTTTTCGTTTGTAGTCAAAACATGGATTTAACTTTTTTTTCCTTGATTTGTTTTCCGTCGATCTTATTTTCTTTACTGAGTACCAAGGCTACCGATGCCAGGGAGGCAACTACTACACCTGGACCCTATCTATCGACCCATCAACTCATAGACCGGGGACCAACGGCTTTACTTTACATGATCAGAGATTTTATGCCTCAGAAAATCCCTGCAGCACCGACTGGGATTGAACCCAAGCCTTTTGGGGTGAGCGGCAATCACGCTTACCGCTACACTACTGGTTTCGCTATGGATTTCACTTAAATCCGTTCAGTACGAAAAAGTTATAGCAGTTTGATTTCTTTCACCATAAAAAAAGGCTTTTAACTCTGTGGAAAAGAGTAAACCAGTTCGTTTTTAAACATCAATTTTTTAACGTAGGATTACATCTTTCAGCAACATATTGGGGGTGCAAATTAAAAAAAAACCAAAATTTACCGCGTTACGAAAAGTGGTCAGGTTTTAACCACTTATAAATCTGTCAATAGCGGATAGATATTAATTCTAAACAAGCTAGTCGATTGGAATGTCATCTACGATTCTTTCAAAATGAACACTTTATCAAATTTCAAACGGTCACTATTGAAAATTGCACGAATGTGCAACTGTTGTTCTAATAATGAAAATTATCACCAATTGACTGCGGAAAGCGCTTTCCCTAACACAGATTTAAAAATTGAATTCACTTCGGTCTCACCGAACAGTGTTTATTCAATCACAAACCGCGTGTAGTGAGTGGTGGTGTCCAGTAGTCATCATCAGCAGCAGTCGCAGTGCTTTCGGCGCGTGGCGTTGTAGATTGTTCTCCAGTACACGACGAAAAGCAAGCGCAAGCTGCAGCCCATTGAGCAGTCCATTCGCCGAAGAAGGAGGAAGAAGTTGCACTTTTTCAACTGATAACGAGATATGAATTTAATATTTGCTTTACTTTTGCTGTGACATCAAAACTACTTTTCGTAATCCTACGTCACGACACGACCGTAGAGTCTTGGATACAACCTCTTACTTTTTTTTATTAAGAATAGGTTTTAAACCACGTATCCTGACCGTCAGGGAAGTTACTGTCTTTAGTATCTTTGATCGCGTGACTTAAGACTACCAGATGCTAAACAGCTCAGTAGTGAGTTTCTCATTTTACTAAAAGCTATTTTCAAAATTTGGTGTCTTCGGCAAAGTTGTTCGTGACCTAGGTGTTCCAGATGACTGACATATAAGTTCAGTCACTACGTACCAATAGTGCACTTGAGAAATTGCTGAACAGGAAATACATAGTGATCCTAGTCATCTGAAAAGATCTTGAAAGTTGTGCAAAAATAAGATGATAAAGTTTTTTCTTTTATTCTGATAGTGAAAAAATCAAACTAATATAACTTTTTTAGTACTGAACAGATTTTAGTAAAACCAATGTCGGCTTAAATGCCCCTATTTTGGGCCCATACATAAATTAAGCAATCGACTAAATTTTCAATAGCTACCAAAAATATCCATTAGTACCGTCCCAATGCACAGTGGTCCAGAATGCAGATTTAGGTGGAATGATATGTTTTGAGCCTGAAATTGAAACTTTAGACTAAAAGTCTCTTGTACAAAGTTGTTCCTTATAGTTAGGCCCTCATTTTTATGACAATGAATTCTAGGGTGGTTCATATTATCATTAAAATAAAAAATCTAACTTTTTTGTTTGAATAAATTTAGGTGTACATTCTTCGGCAAAGTTATAGTTGAGCTAATTTCAAGCAACTTTGCAGAAAACAATTTTTATATTCAGCGAATTAAACTTATTGAAAAAATACGCATGGTTGTACATTTTTGTCCGGTACTGCAGTACTGAATCCGCTGTGCACTTCGTCCTTCTTTTTCCCGCTGTGCACTTCGTCCTTCCCTAATAACAAATTACCATAAACGAACGATAGCCCAAATGATTGAATAATTCAACAAATGGTTTGGATGTTACCCCGAACACGTCGTTAAGCAAAATAACCATAAAGTTTTTACTAGGGTTCCTCTGGCCACTTCTGAACCTTCCACTTGGGCAGGAATTCATCTAGTGCTCAGCGTCTTGTACAAGAAACACTTCAAAATTATTCCATTCCGATTGAGCAAATGAAGTGTGTATATAGATACACCTCGCACACATGTGTACATGATGAGGCCCAGGAAATTTATCACCGATGACACGCTTAATCTTTCCACATCTCTCCGAGATCCAGGACCTCCGGTGGAAGAACACGTATTGAACGCTACCCCCCGCAGGTGAACGACAGTTTCATCATAACAATGCAACGGTAGTTTCGTGGGCCTTATACTGCAATGCATAACTCATTGATTCTTCCGACATGAAATTGATGAAAACTGCTTTCTCCCGTGAAATCCGGTCCTTTGCTTCTATCTCAACGTGATTCGCATCAAGAGCCTTCACTGAATTGGCAATTTTGCACATTAATTAAGAAAATTTAATTCAAATGTGTTGTTCACTTTCATCAATTGTTTGCTTCCAATGGCGACAACAAAAGGCACCGAACGATGTGACGTGACCTTTCTGTGCAAGTCAAATGGAGAGTTACATTATCATGGCGTGACTTTTCTTACTTCACTAGTGACAAAAGTCACTTCGGCTCTCAGAATAACTCCCAATATATACCTCACATCTCTTCAAACCGGAAATCAAAAAATTATTTTTAATATCACATCAAAGTGAATGCACTTCAATCGTGGCGAAAATATGGTGTAATATTACTTCCCAAAAAGGACAAAATTATCATTTATACAGTTCATGAACTGACATTACGCTTCTTTACTGCATTTGTTTATTTTTGTGGCCATAAAAATTACATGAGATTTTCGACATGCTTGAAGTGCACTCGGAAAAAATCCGTTCCCGAAAACGGGAACCGACCGTAAACTAAAAATCATGGCCAACTATCCAGAACAAAATTATCTCAAATATACACCATGAACTATGGTTCACGGCTGTGGTTCACGAATATGGGAACTTTTTTTTTTTCATGCATCCTCTTGGATGTAATATTAAAATTTATTTTTTGCTGTGTGGAATTAGGAATCGTTCATAAATTACGCCCTTTAAACCGTCTTTCACCCTCGTAGCATATTTACCCTGATATATGGACGATCTCAACTTTTGAAGACCCCCCCCCCCTCCACGTCGTTTGTGCGATTACTTAAATATTTTAAAAGTAGATTTTTGAATACCCCCCACGCTGTCACGCACTTTTCCGATACCTAATACATGGTGGCTAACACATTTCCAGACTACCCCCACCCCCTATTACGTTACGTAATATTTGAATGGGCCCTTATGAGTTAGTTTTTAGCCAATGTCCTACGACGACCAGCTAATCTACTGTGCACGCACTATTTCACACGTGATTGTAAAAATGCTCGCCTACTAATTATCTAATGGAACCATTTGTTGCTCACACGTATTTGTTTCTTTCTCCATTTTTTGCAGTGATTTCGAAGCTGATCACATCGCTCAAGGAAGCGGACAGTTTATCGAACGAACAGGAGCTTGGCTTTCTACAGAACCTGCTCCAATCCAAGGAGCTCAACGCACTGGTCAATGTACACAGCAAAGTTGCCAAAATCAATAAGGATGATCGGATAGCACCGCTCCTGTCGTCATCTATGCAGGTCGGTGATCGCATAAAGAATTGATGTCACGATTTCTAAACTATTTTTTGTTTTGCTATGATCCCTCTAGGTACTCATAGAAGTATTAGAATTACTAGCACCAAGATGCCACATCTCGCCGCTGTGTAGGGAAGTATTCCATATGCTGCAGACGCCACATTTGCAGGTATGTACTGGAATGTCCGTGAATTCTACATTGCTCTGACGTTAAATCCTAACGAGGAAAAGTGTTCTATTTGCAAAAGCAAATACACTGTGTAAAGCATTTTCCGTAACATCTACTGAAAACAAACAACCAGGGTAAACTTGTTTTCGACTCGTTCAATTTGCATGCACTGTAATGCATTCCAGTGCACATACGCAAGTGAAGTGGTCCGGCTGCTGTTGCATTCTTCGCATGGAAATAACAATACCACACTTTGTTATCGTTCCATGTGCGCGACCAATGAGGATAACAGCCAATGAGAGTAACCCAAAATTGAGTCGAATTCGACTCAAAAGTGCAAAAAAGTTCACGGTCGTTCAGACCGACCCAAAGGTAAATCGAGTCGACACAATTTCGGCAAAAGTGGATTTACTCAAAAATGAGTTGAACTTTCCGGGCTGGAGGCTGAGGAAAATCGATAGAACTTTTACTCAGTTTATTAGTACACTTCTTGACTTAGTAAAATTGTCATGGATTTTCCCCATATTCCAGAAGTTTTTCCTGGTGTTCCCGGAAAATTCTGCTCACTTTTGAGTAAATCCAATTTTGCGAAATTGAGTCCACTCGACTCAATTTTGAGTCGATTTGAACGACCATGTAAAGTTACTCAGTGGATTTCCTCACTTTTCCGGGAAAAACTGCTTGAATATGAGGAAAATCGAAAGATATTGGTCGATATTCCTCATTTTCAACTAGTTTTTTTCCGGGAAATTGTAGAACATTTTACTTACCCACTGAGCAGCTCCACTTTTTGCATTATTGAGTCTAATTCAACTCAATGTTGGGTTACTTTCATTGGCCGTGTAGAGTCTGCCGATAGAACCCTGCTGACAAGAACTATTTTCCACTCGAACAGTTTGTCCTCTTCTGTGGCAAATGCCAGAGAGCCGATTACAGTGAAGGTTCCTGCTGTGGGGTTGTTGGGGAATTTTCACTCGAAATGTAAGTTTGCTATGGGACTAGCACTCCCTGGAATTAGAGCAAATTTATTCCAATTTAAAAAATATCAAGGACTTCAAGAGCTTGAATCAATAATAATAACACTAACTAAAATTTCGGTTCAGATCCTCCTAGTTGGAATCTCGAATGATGATATTTACACCGGGCAACCTGCACAATTTCTCACCGAAAATTAAATTCAATCCAATCGTGCACCATTTTTCAAAAAAAAAAAAAAACATTCCCCAAAGAGCGTGCAAATTTGTCATTCATTGAATACGACAGCTCTTCTCCGAAAATGCACCAATGCATCAGATGTCAAATCGCATCGGTCCACATACTGAGCACAGAATCACTCGCAGGTTCCCATTTTAATTGCATTGCATCCATTTCCCGAATTTTAATTGAAACCCCCCCTGGGGTAGGATCCCTCCGAGCAAGTGCACACACGCCAGGAAATGAAACCAAATCAAGCGTATCTACCTGCATGTATAAGTTTTTCGGTAGTATGTATTGGAAAATGTCATCCTCGCACCAAAGTCTGATAATAATGGAGTACCGACGTCACTTCCGTTTGCATATTTGTTCATTCTACGCACCTGTTCGTATGTCTTCCGTAGAGCCTCCTGTTCGCACACGATGCCATAGCGCAAAAAGACTTTTATCCTCACCTGCCGGAGATTCCAGTCGAAGTGGACGAGGACGAGGAGACGATTAAAATCGTACAACTAGTGAAAAGTAACGAACCATTGGTGAGTAGAATTTGGAGTTTCGTTTGTTTGCTGCGATAGCATTGAGTGGGTACTTTAAGATGAAGATGAATGTCTTTCATGTTTTTGCCATTTTCTCTATGTCGTTGAAAGGTTAGTTGAAGTTGCAAAGTTGTTTAAAAATAAATTACAAAATCGTCGTGAGTTTGAGAGGGCTAATACATACAAATATAATTGGGAAGAATCGAAAAAAAAAAATCATTTAAGATCGAATATTACTGAATCCATTCAAATTTAATTAGGAATGAATTTATTCATTAAGGATCGAAAATATTGCTCTTAAAGTCTGAAATTTCAATACAGTCATGTTATAATTTAACAAAAACGTTCTCATAAACTCATTCTTCATTTATCATTATAGTGATGGAGACGCAGGGCAGCATTTTTCTTGTGAGAAAAACGTGATGGTGAACGTTATTTTGGCTCTGATGGAGATTGGTTACTTGACAGTCTAATATTTTAAAATATATCTGGATGAATAAAAACAATCATCAAAATAGTACTGGGTTTCCGGAAATGGAGGTCCAGACCTTTGTTCTATCCTTATTTAATGAATTTTTGCTCCACATAATGTTCTAAACCAGAGATCAGGTACTGCAGCAATCGGTACGACTTTTTCACACAAGCAGCTCTTATCAAATTCGGTTCGTTCGACTTCTGTAGTGCAGTCCCAGATCTCAACTAGCTACTGTCTCATAATAGAAAGTAAACACACAGCTCTGAGTGTTCGCACATCGAAAACGAAAGATACGTACAGTGTGCTATGAGCAAGTGTTCACATATTTGTAAACACATTTACAATGTGCGCCCTCTACAAATCTATCTATGATTTTATCATTTAGTAAAAGTTTGACCGAATCACAGTATTCTGCCACGTTAAAGTAGTTGCATTTCAAGCGTAGATGTTCCCTTAAGGATCATCCTTAATGAAGTGTAATTTTTTTGAGAAATTTAAGACGCCCCCCTGTCCCATTGTAGCGTGTTTTGCTAAACTTATTACATGGCTCGTCAGAGCTTCTGCAGACCTCCCTTCCCCCTTAAAATTCTACGTTATTATTTATTACGACAATTTGGATCTGTTTATATCCAGATGTACTCTACGAAGATCTGCAAGCATACCACCCATATAGCGTGTTTGGTGGGCTCTCTTTGATCTCATTCTAAAAAAAATGGTTCAGTAATTTAACGTCGTATAGCACAACTTTAAAATTTTATATATTTTATTTTATAAAATTGATTGCTCAGCAACTTATCGCTCGATTTTATATCTATTGATATCGAAAAAATCTTCAAAGCCTTCAATTTCAAATGGCACCAACCTCTCACCACAAAAGGCCTGGGTTCAAACCCAGTCGGTGCCGCCGAGATTTTCTGAGGCATAACATCTCTGATCACACCAGGAAATTAAAGCCGTTGGTCCCCGGTTCATGAGTTGATGGGTCGATAGGTATGGTCCAGGTGTGGGAGCTGCCACTCTTCCGTCTGTAGCATTGGTGCTCAGCACGGAAAACAAGATCGACGGAAAAAATATCAAGGAAAAAAAATGCTCAGCAACTTATCGCTAGATTTTAAATCTATTGATATCGAAAAAATCTTCAAAGTCTTCAGTTTCAAGTGGCGCCAATAGATTTGATTTTTGTTTTTCAATAAATGGCTGAGCTATGATGTTTCAAGTGTTTGACCTTTCAATTTTCAAGTATTTGACCCTGGGCGTAATTCATGGCAATTTGGTGGCCCGGTTCTTCGTCCAGGATCGATTGTTTGAACAATCAAGTGGGAGCAGGAGTAACTGGCCCAGTGATAGAAATATCGGTTCCTATGGGCAGATGGCCAGCTGTGTTCCAAACTGAAATCCAAGCAATTTTAGAGTGCTCCATTATATGTTTGCGTAGAAACTATAAGAGTTCAAATATATGCGTCATGTCCGACAGTCAAGCTGCTAAATGTTTTACAGTCGGTGACATGTACATCAAAACTTGTCTGGGAGTGTGTTCAATCACTTCAAAAAATTGTCTTGTCATAATCAAGTCAACTTATATTGGGTTCCTTGGGTCATTGCGGGATTGAGGGAAATGAAAGAGCTGATGCACTAGCAAGACACAGATCTTCTTATAAATTCATCGGGCCAGAGCCCTTTTGTGGCTTATCGGCTGCATCTCTTAGAATAGAGCTAAAAGTGTGGGAATTTTCAAAAGTGGAGGAAAACTGGAAGAACACTTCTTTTGCTAGGCAGCCGAAACGATTCATTAATCCAAACATTTCTGTGACCCACAAAATCCTGGAACTTTCTAAGAAAGATCTTAGTATATATGCAGGTCTTATAACAGGTCATTGTCCGAGCCGTTATCACTTGAAGCTGATTGGAAAACTTCAAGATGATGTATGTAGCTTCTGTGGCACAGAAAAGGAAGACTCGGAACATTTGATATGCCACTGTCCGGCAATTTTCAATAAAAGGCGTAAGTTCTTCGACAAGGGGCTGACAGAACCCTTTGACATTTGGAGAACAACTCCCAGTACGGCCAAGCACTTTATTCGAAGTATAATGCCGTGCTGGGAAAATGCTATTAGTCAAACGATGGCGATCACTCCTAATAATAGTGATACGGCATCTTGATACAACTAAAGAAAAAAATGGGGAATATATCACAATAGATTAGAAAAATGGTCGCAGTGATGAAAATACCCGACAAGGAAAAAAATGATGTTTTAAACATTGCAAGTTTAACATTACACAATTTACCGGAGGCATCGTGTTCAGAGTGTTGAAGAAAACATAATCACCTGCAGGGTTCCTTCAATTCATTTCGGCAAAAAAATGTTTTATTAAATTATGGAATAATAAGATATTATGATAATATTTTGCTTGTGTAAGCAACAAGAAAATATTGTAAAGTTTGTGTTTGACACATAATACCTGCCAATTTTGCTACATGAGAGTCGCAATAAGCGATTTTGCCATTTATCTCACCCACTCTTCGCTCTTCACTCTTCGCGAAAAGGCGATCAGAAAACCACTCATTGTGACTCTGTCAAAGCTAAATTTGCAAGTTTTATGTGTCAAACACAAACCTTACAATCTTGTCTTGTTGCTTACGCAAACCAATTATTATCATAATATCTTATTATTCCATAATTTAATAAAACATGTTTTTAGCCGAAATTAATGGAAGGAACACAGATCACCTGTATCCTTCAAATACCTTTTGAATTTTCGCATCGTTGAAACGTTTTATAGACATACACTATCAATCATAATTAATCATGAATCTCACTATCTTTAGAAAATTGAAATCCTTACGGAACATAATATAAATATTTCGACAGGGAATTCCAAATAACAAGCTTTAATAAACATTGCACCGTACAACATAATCAATTTGATCTGTGATGTTTTGATCTTTGAAATCGGCCCAGTGGTTCAAATACTATGAATTTTTACCGTTCCGGTATTCCGATCCGGTATTCGTGAACAACAAATCACGAAAGCATGAACTGCTAGTTCGTTTGAATTCATGACTTAGTTCCCGTAAACTTAATCGAGTAAATAACATTTTCATGAAATAAATCCCAAATCCATGAACTTAAGTCACGCCTGTTCAGCGCAACCATCGATTTCATAACGCTACAGAAAACACAAAATAAAATCATGATTTCGTGATCCATGAACCCATAAGTGCGATTTTCGTTCCTGAAATCGTGAACTTGGATCACATGCAATGCTGCAGCTGTCATTTTCAGTTGTTGTTGATTTTATCCTTATAGAGTGCTCGGATCCGTCGAGAATAGTATCTCGATTATTAGTGAGTGAGCTGAGCCGTATCATCAGAATGGTGGTCCGGCACAATGGCAGTGGCTGGTACATGTCATCATACTGGCCGTCCTCGAAGAAAAGAATCCCCGAACGCAGCCGGTGTTCTTTCTCCCGATGGAAGTCGAAGGTGGTGTTGATTTTTTGAGCTGAAAACTCGGCTGAAAGTGTGTTCATTCCATCTACTGACAGATACCTGCTGCCAGTTTAGGAAGCGGGTAAAACCAGCACCAAGGCTTCCGTTGTTTTCATTCCACTTCCTCACTCCATTTAAAATATTGGTAATTATAATGAAGTTGACATTTTACAGTCCGTGAACCATGTTCCCGTTTTCAAGAACAAGGTTCACGGTATCAATCACAACGCATGAACATGAATCACGTTTGCCAGAACTAGATCATGATTTTCCGAACAGAGTTCACGATTCTATGACTTTTGTTGCCTTTTCAGGCGTTACGTTTATTTTGTGGAACAATGTTCACGATTTCATGATATTTATGCATGGTGTACTTTCGTTAACGAAAAATTTACGTGTTCCGAAAATCGTGACTGGAGGTTGACGAATTTCGGAACGGATTTTTTCCCGTGTAACATGGAAATGGTCACCCTATAACAAAATATAAAAAAAATACTGGTCTAATATTTTGCAATAAGGGAAAAAAGTACCAATTTTTATGAATTTCTGAGAACCACTATATACCGATTTTCTATGAAATGACTGAATTGATTGAAGATTGAAATAATAAACAACTTTTTGAGTTTTAAACAACAATGCAATTTCAATTATGTTAAAATCTATGCGCTTAGAATGTATATTGCTTGTGCTGTACCTTAGAATAGTAAAGAGTTTATTCGGGAGTGTTCTCCCCGAATGCAAGTTCCAGTTCCATTCCAATTCCAATTCCTCTCTTCGATTTGAACGAAACTTTGCACATATGTTGGTTGCTATCCAAGACGACATTTCCCATTTCCAAATTGATAATTTGTCCAGACTAATTTTTGGTAAGGGCTTATGTAAAAAAAGAGTTTTATTTTGAAAACGATATAGGGGAAATGGATGTAATGTCGGCCTAAATGCCCCTAATTTAGACCCATACATAAATTCAGCAATCGACTAAATTTTCAATAGCAACCAAAAATATCCATTAGTACCGTCCCAATGACGCGTTCA